ACCTTTTCCCTCCCCCTTGTTTATTCCAATTTTTACCAATTTTGCTCAAGCCTTTTTTTGGTAGATGTGATCAATTGCCTTTTCTTGATTGCTTTGATCATCTTTTTAGGCCATGGACCGAGCTCATCGTATTGGACAGAAGAAGGTTGTAAACGTTTACAGATTGATAACATGGGGAACACTCGAGGAAAAGATTATGGGGTAGGCTTTAGAGCAGCACTATTTGAATCATACAGCACAGTGTAATTAGGCTTTTTTTCGAGGTTACACTCTCGACGAGAAGCCTCCTTCTTTAAGCCATTTAGACATCCTGAGATAGGACTAACATTAACGCTCGATGCTCTTAGCAAAGTTTTGGAAAGTCAGCTTCTCAAACGTTTTTTCACTACTTTAATGCAAGTGTCTCACTTGCCCATTGACGCAGCGATAAAAGTTTATTTATGAAAGAGTATCGTCTAATAAACAATTGTTCCACGAGCGCGCGTTGGATATGAGATGAAGGGCCTCGTTGGCGATAATCATCTCATATCCAACAAGGGCGGGTAGATTGACTGTTTTATCAAAAACACCCCTTAGTATAAATAAATCTTCCCAAAGTTATTTTGTAAGAAAAACGGAATGTTACAATGTATAAAAGTACTTCCGTTTAACTCGTCTTCATGCGCGCGCATGATGGCTTATAACTCATGATGGCTTATAACTCATGATGGCTAAGCCAATGAAAACTCTTGAATTGCATTATCAAATGATCCAGTTTTTAATAACAACTTGCAGTGAGCTTTCCAATTTCCCCAGGGTGGATAGGTCATTCAACGCCTCTTTCGCGTCTTCCTTTGTTCTCAAACTTAGGAAAGACATTCTCCTTGTCCGCTCATTTCTAAACCTAATTTTCAAGTGACAACATTCTATGCACTTAGGTATTTTATAAATTGAGTCTTCAAAGCGGACTTTTTTTTCTGTTAGACTCCAGAAGTTTCAACTGAACATCGCCAACACAGTGATCTCGCAAGACAACTCAAGCCTATTAACCATGGATACTGGACAACTCCTGGATCTCTTTTTAGTCGACCAAGAAAAGAAAAGAGAAAAACCAAGCGCACAACAACAACAGTGGAATGCAACTGGGAAGACTTCGATCGCTCAAAACTATGATTGAAAATTTTGGAGAGCTATGGGACGAGGAACAATATGAAACAGAATACAATTTAGACAACTTC